GTAATATTCCTGACATTTTCCCCCATTCTACTTTCTTCAGTTTTCATTTCCACAGGAAAAACTGTTGAGGAGGGGAAAATATCGGAATGATTGCACGTCTTATAATGGGGTTTTGGTTTGGTTTGGTTTTGTGCCTTTGAGTCATTGTTGACTCCTGGCGACTGCCTGGACACGTCCCTGCAGTTTTCTTGGCAAGGTTTTTCGGAAGTGGTTTGCCATGGCCTGCTTCCTCGGGCTGAGAGAGAGAGACTGGCCCAAGGTCATGCAGCTGGCTTTGTGCCTCACAGTCTCCCTGTTTCTAGTCTGATGCCTTGACCAAAGTGGCTCTTCAACAGTTAGGCAAGTTTCCTCCCTGCTTCATGTATCCTTGTAATAACAAAAATTAGGCACTAGAGAAATAATGGAATTTACCCAGGTCTTTAGCTGAATGTCTGAAAAACCATCATGTTCTTCATTCCCTGCTCCAAGAAAGATAGAACCAGGAGATTTTTCTTTGCTGGCTAGAAACATTTTAGCTCATGTTTCTAGATGGATGTAGAAGAGGGGAAGGAAATAACACTAGCTTAACACTGGTTTCCACAAATCAGAGTAATATGAGAAGTACACTTGGGGGACAGGCAAAGCTTGTACTTTTTAATGTGGAGATTCTGAAGCTCTTCACATTTTATAAGAAATTTGCTTCAAGGGGGGAGCAGGATCACATCTTGCCCTCTTCCTCCCAGAACTTGCCTTCAGCATAGCCCAGAGGTTGGCAGTGCAGCATCTGCAGGAATACCAGGAAACGTCTTCAGAAACCTCAAACTTGAACTAACAAAAATAGATGTCCAACATCTTACAAAATTTGGTAACCGTACGAGATTTCAGCCACTGGGGGGTTACCCATGCAATCCCCTGAAATGGTTGCTGACCTCAGTATAACCTGCCAATGAGTGTGTGTGTAAATGGTATTTATCCAGGCTCTATATACACAATCAGGGACCCTTAAATAGGCTGCCTCCTTGGTAATTTGTCCCCATCACAAATTAACTGGAAGCAGGAAAAGTGGATCTGCAGATCACTGTTCTATTTCCTGGCTCCAACCTGTACCCAAACTCAACTTTAATTAATATAGTTTCATTTAATAAGATGAAAGAAGCAGCTAACTGTGGTAAGGGAATTTTTCAATGAGTGCAAGCTTAAATGTAATTGAAAGGTTAGAGTCTCTGGTAATTGGAAGCATTTGCTGACCATGATTCATTTAAACTGTAGTTCTGATTCATTGCTCTAATTATTGGTACCATGCTATGCCCTTTGACCTGGAAGTGAAACTTTTGTCCTCTTGACATAAGAGGTTAACAGAACAGGAAACTCAATGGTTATATATTCCCCTGTGACCAGCATAATTTAGTAATTGTGAAATTACCTGGAAGGTTTGATGCAGATTCTGAAAATAGTAATAAAAATTAAACAATCAACTTTCTACCTCCATAACTGCCCATCTGTTTCTTCTTTTCTGTGTTTATGAATATCATATCCTATACATTTCATTAAGCATCTTTTGCTGAGTTTTTCCCCTTAAATTTATGTTTTGATGGGGCTAAATGTTACCAACCAAAACTAATATGTCCTTTCCTAATCAACAAAGAACACTCCTGTACAGTTGCCCTGGTTTCTTTCTTGGTCTAAACTAAGGCATGCAACAGATAGATTGGGAACATGTCTTGGCGATGTACACTGATAAAAGCTGATGCTCTGTTCTGTAAAATTAGGGACAAGGAAAAGCTTTTCCCCCACCTCTAAATTTAAATTGCTGAAATTAATTGGACATGACAATGACCTTAATTCTGCTATTGATAACAAATTCCCAACTTACTGTAAGTATGTACTTGGGGGTACTTGGTTGATCTAGGTTTCTATGAATTACAGGGTCTGTTCCTTAGAATGTTCTTTAGCTGAGAGAAACTTTTGATGAGAGCTCCCACCGTATCTCATTTTTCCGTACCACGTAACAGTAATTTCACAAGGAGTTGTTTGGGAGAAATATTGTTTTTATTTTCTACCTCTCCTGGAGATTTCTTCACTGCAGTGCTATAATATCGCCAACTCTTTTGCTTCCTGCATTATAATATTATCCCACAGGGAGGATCTTTGGTATTGGAGTGGACAATTTACCCTCATCAGAAATTCCCCATGTAAGAAACTAGATCATAGACAGCAAGATTACTTATGGATCCCTAACTGTCCTGTCTCACCCACGGATTTCTATCAGATCATTTCTGATCCAGTCACCAAATTCACAAGCCCTTTCCCCAGTTCCACATTTTCAGTGGAATCGGAAGTTGTTTGCCATTCCAGGATAGATAAACGTTATACAAATCCTGACCCAGATATTTGCCTTCTCAGTCCTGGGACTCCCTGTATGAAGACAATAGAAACTAATGTGTTTTGGACATTGGACCTTTTGCCCATACCTAGTCTTTCCTTTACCAGTTATGGCTGCTATTGCTACTCTGTATGATCTTCAGATTACTTAAGGCAAGTGAGGGCACGTTTTCTACCTGAGTTGGTAATTATCTTTTTTCAGTGGAAAGCAGCATCCAAGATGGATTAATGTGTTCCCTCCTCCACCTTCTCCCTTCTGTACCAATTGAAAATGATGCAGTTACCAGAGACCTCAGTCCTGGCTGATTCCCTGCAACACTTTGGATTTAATTTGGAGGAGGTGCTTCAGAACACACATTGATGCAGCACTTGATGATGACTCATTAAAGCAATCATGTCTGTTTCCAGGATTGTGTAGCTGCGGCAGAAACCTCCCCACAACCCAAGTATGACCACTGACTGTTAGAGAGTATTTTGGAAGCTGCCTCTTATGCTTCTGCTCACCATAATGTTCTGCTTCCGTCATGTCTTCACCTAAGAATGGTGGGTTGGGAACTTCCAAGGCATTACTTCTTCAGGACCCAATCCCTACAAGATATACACCACCCTTGGTTGCCTTCAGTAATCTGGAGACAGGCACTGACAAGGAGCTATACTGTGTCTGGGCTTCCAGCTGCCTTCCATCATCACCAATGAAGATCTCAGTTTGTCTGGTAGTACATCTGTAGATACTTTCCTGTATAGATAGATCCCAAGATGGATTGACCTTATCAAAGAGAATACTAGTTTAACTTAGATTCCTACTTTACTGTATTGCATAGAGGATCCACTTAGTCAGAATTATACAGACTTATGATGTATTGATTTTTTAGCCATGTAGACCTTCCATGACAGCATCACTTCATTCCTTACATGATGCTAATCAGCATCACTTCCTTACAAGAAGGAAGTGGCTCGTGTCTTTTTGGCCAAGCCCTCCAGCATGGTTAAACAATAATAAATTAATACAAAGAAAAGACTGCGACTGCAGCAGTGACATTTTGAAAGTATACCTGGCTTAGATCCTGAATCGGGAAGCCAAGGCCAAAACTGAGGCTCTCACTTTTGAAGAGGAGAGATTCTTCAGTGAGAAAATAAGTAATACACTGGGCAGAGTTCAAAAGTTTAAGCCTTTGGCCAAGAGAACGCATCACAAATTCTGGAAGACACTCCACTGAATCCAGGGCCCAGTGCTTTTCTCTGAAGTGATAAACTTTCTACTGCCCTGAGTTCTGAGGTGATCTTCCCATATGTTTTTGGACAAATGTCCAGGGTTGAAGAAACCCATCTTGTGGCTATCCCCAACACCTGTTCTAGCAAGACCATGATGATACCCAGTTTGAAACCATCTTAGCTTCTATTTCCTAAACTAGTTGTCCATCACTGCAGATGTAAAGATACTCCCTATAGTGAATATCATAACCAGATTCCCTCTAGAATGCCCATGATTTGTGTTTCCCTACTGTTGACTCCTATCTATAGATTTAATTGATTATGTGCCATCAAGTCATTTTTGACTCCTAGTGACCACATAGATGGATTTTCTCCATGACGATCTATCCCTATCCTGGTCTTCCAACAATGCTGGGATACAGTCACCACTGTAACTGAGTCCATCCACCTTGCTGTTGGTCATCCTCTTCTTCTCTTTCCTTCCACCTTTCCCAGCATTACAGCCTTCTCCAGAGAGCTGGATCTTGGCATAATGTGTCTAAAGTAGGTTAATTTGAGTCTGGTCATTTTGAGTGAGAACTCTGGGATGCATATTTTTATACTGCAGTTATGCTGTACCATCAGTAGTATTTTCACTTCCATTTAGGCTCTAACCTTCCCTGGACCATAAATATTACAGATTAGATTTTAGTCGAGAAGAAATGCTGCATTTGCCATGGCCATGTTGCTTTCTTTGGTTTCATAAACTTTCTCTTCTGGAGATAAAGCAATTCACAGAGGCCACAATGAAGGAGGACAGGTTACTTATTTGTAATTTTGATTCTTGAAGCTGACATCTGAGAATTCACAGAATCTCCCCACCTCTCAATTCAGGTGAGAGCAGTGCTGAGGGAGAGAGAATGTTCTTGCTGAAAGATTCTTCCAGATGCAGAATATTCTGAGCGGGCATTTGTCTCTTGAACATTTAATTTTAAAAGTGAATGCTGCTATGAAGTTAAACCTTCACTGAATAATGAATTTATTCCATGTGCTGAGAAGTGGCCCACCATGCACAGTTGTTAAAATGACTGCAATCATATTTCTAAGTCTGCTTTAAAAAAAACATTACTGGTGTAGACTGTGTTCCTCTCCTTAGAATATTAAACATTTTGCCTAAAAGTTAGACTGCAAAATTAAAAAACAAAGCAAAACTGTGCATATTTAAATCTTACTGGCTTCAGTGGGAACATGTATGCCACCAACACATGTAAGTGGTCCTAATTTTGTAACTGCTTACTTTTAAATGGTTTGTGCCATAAATTCATTTCTCCCATAAGAACATGCACATCTTGAGAAAATCTAATGCTGGAAATTCCAGTGGCCTTCATGGGCTAAGCAAATAAGTCAGTTCTTTCAGTGAATTCTGTGTTACTTTTTCTATCCTACAATCTGTTTTTATCATCAGATTTGATCTTCGGAATGGCCAGACTTGTAGGAAGGATATTAATTGCAGGATATTAATTGCAATTAATCCATTTTTCCCGTCTCTTCCTCGCAGTCCCAGGAACCACCTGCTTTAAAAGCACCCAGCCTGGCTACCAAAGTACGAAAAACTCTGAGCAGTCGTGTCCATGAGGCAGTGAAAGCAGTCGCGCTCTGCCACAATGTGACTCCCGTCTATGAATCAAATGGTGTGACAGATCAGGCCGAAGCTGAGAAGCATTATGAAGATTCTTGCAGGGTATACCAAGCTGCTAGTCCTGATGAGGTAAAATAGTCCTCAAAAGAATGTTACTGACTTTTTATTACTTCTTAATATGCCCCCTTTCCCCCCCCCAATACAGTTAATGGTATTCTGAGGGATAACATATGCACAGCTGTTAAATTTCATATGACATTAGTGCTGAGAATTTATCCATGGCAATGTAATTAGTTTATCTAAATAAGATTTCTCAAAAACCTACAAACAAATTTTGTATTAAAAGTTAAATCTTTCATGATAAAAGTTTGACTGAGAATATAATTTCTTTAAAGATATTGGCAATATAAGCCTTCCCATTGTCTTCACCCCCTAAACAGCTGGCTACCTTCTTTTAAAAAAAAAAAAAAATGGGTTGCTTGCCTGAATTTTGATGTCGCTAAGCCATTCCCTGTAGGAAACTCGTGAAATGGGCTTTTAAAATCTACCTTTGAAACTCTATAGTAATAAAATATTGTTAAGGCGGGAGGGCCAGCTTATGTTGAAATTGGAACAACACCTTGAAGGTCCCTCTCCCCACCCCCCCTTTTTTGAACAGCAAGGATAATTTCTACCAGTTGGCACAGCATTGATTTCCTGAAACACAAAGCAGGGTTTCCTACATTTGTTTCCGGCGTGCATTCCTGGGCTAAGACTCCTGAAAACATCTTTATAGGAAGATCAGTTACAGCCTCTAGGGCTCCGTGATCCTGCCAGAGTGAGGCCTTACAGTAACCGAGGGGAAATGTAAGAGGTAGAATCTGATCAGATAGCTTGCCCAGGAGAAGACATGACCAGCTGGCCTTTAACCCTGATAACACCTCACTGCTTCCCTGGATGTGTAAAAATGTGTCGATCAACTACGTTACGAGCAGCTGTTTGCGGGGATCCTGCCATCCAAATGAGACTTTGAAGTATGGGCAACAAGAAAGAAGGGTTGTGTTTATATCTCTTTAGGTCTGAAGCAGCATTAATCAATAGCCTTGTTTGCCAATAAATTCACATGAGTTCATGAGCAAGATGGAGCGTTGAAGAGCTAGGAAGTTACAGGAAGGCTTGCCAATCATTGGTGGGCTAGAGCAGGGTTCCTCAACCTTGGCCACTTGAAGATGTGTGGACTTCAACTCCCAGAATTCCCCAGACCGCATCTTCAAGCGGTCAAAGTTGAGGAACACTGGGCTAGAGCAAGATTACTATCTTATGTACTGGTGTAGGCTTTCAACAGTGAAGCCGTGATGAGCTTCCGGGATGAATGGCCGTGGTCTAGTTTTCCTCTGTTCTGATGTTTCACCAGAAGCTGTGGCTGGCATCTTCAGAGGCAGAGTGAGTTACTTTGTGGTGTACCTCTTGGCGTGCCTCTGAAGATGCCAGCCACAGCTTCTGGCGAAACATCAGAACAGAGGAAAACTAGACCACAGCCATTCATCCTGAAAGCAGATCACGGCTTCACTGCTGTCTTACGCTCTTTGCCTATGTGGTAGTCCACGATTTGCTCTGATGAAGGATTGTTGGAGATCTTTTATGTTTTTAAGAAAACTTGTTTACAAGTGCACAGATTTCAGAGAGGCGTTTTTTGGTTTAACACAGCAGTCGTTTACAGAAACCAATGTCAGATTGTTGATTGGCTGTCTTCCCCATTCCTAAAAGCCGTGTGCCTTTTCCTTTTATTAAATCTATTACTAAACCTCTAGCTAAGAATAGCATTTTAACAACACTTCACTTAATGCTTGGAATAACATAAGTGCATATAACACAATCACATTAAACCTCACACCAGCCCTGCAAAGTAGGCCTGTCCTCTTATTTCAGTTTGGGGGCAAAGGCTGAGAGAGATTAGTCTACCCAAACTAATCTGACCTCAAGGACTGGATTTTTGGCTTACCATTTTTTCTTGTAATTTGTAACCACTAGTTCCATGTGATAGAAACAGAGTTCCTGCACGAAAGCCCTTTTTTTGAGAAGCTTACTCAGCACCACCCATCCATGACGACTGTCACATACTTACAGCAAACTCATTTATTGAACATAGTTAGGTAGCCAAAACAATACCACTGACACAAAAGATAGATACTGTTACGCTCAGGGAAATTCAACCCTCTACAACAGTGTTTCTCAACCTTGGCAACTTTAAGATGGGTGGACTTCATGGCTGGCTGGGGAATCCTGGGAGTTGAAGTCCACCCATCTTAAAGTTGCCAAGGTTGAGAAACACTGTTGCAACCCTCTACAACAGTGTTTCTCAACCTTGGCAACTTTAAGATGGGTGGACTTCATGGCTGGCTGGGGAATCCTGGGAGTTGAAGTCCACCCATCTTAAAGTTGCCAAGGTTGAGAAACACTGTTGCAACCCTCTACAACAGTGTTTCTCAACCTTGGCAACTTTAAGATGGGTGGACTTCATGGCTGGCTGGGGAATCCTGGGAGTTGAAGTCCACCCATCTTAAAGTTGCCAAGGTTGAGAAACACTGTTGCAACCCTCTACAACAGTGTTTCTCAACCTTGGCAACTTTAAGATGGGTGGACTTCATGGCTGGCTGGGGAATCCTGGGAGTTGAAGTCCACCCATCTTAAAGTTGCCAAGGTTGAGAAACACTGTTGCAACCCTCTACAACAGTGTTTCTCAACCTTGGCAACTTTAAGATGGGTGGACTTCATGGCTGGCTGGGGAATCCTGGGAGTTGAAGTCCACCCATCTTAAAGTTGCCAAGGTTGAGAAACACTGTTGCAACCCTCTACAACAGTGTTTCTCAACCTTGGCAACTTTAAGATGGGTGGACTTCATGGCTGGCTGGGGAATCCTGGGAGTTGAAGTCCACCCATCTTAAAGTTGCCAAGGTTGAGAAACACTGTTGCAACCCTCTACAACAGTGTTTCTCAACCTTGGCAACTTTAAGATGGGTGGACTTCATGGCTGGCTGGGGAATCCTGGGAGTTGAAGTCCACCCATCTTAAAGTTGCCAAGGTTGAGAAACACTGTTGTAGAGGGTTGGGATGAAAGGAAAGCAGGACTGGGAATCTTGGCATCATTGACAGTGTGGTCTCTCAATTGCTCTCAGACTCCAGCCATAATCATACAGACCAGGCCTGCTAGTCCCAGGTGTTACCACTCTAGAAAAGCGCTTCTAGCCAGGAGGGGAAATGGTACAGTTAACAATTGAGTCACTTTGTTCTTCGCTTTGCCTGTTTCCCTTCCCCCTCCTTTTCCATTCGCTTGACCTCTGAACCCACTAGCTCAGCAGTCTATCTGACCTGTGACTTCTCTTGTGCTTAGGTGGCCTTGGTGCAATGGACAGAAAGTGTTGGCTTGACACTGGTGGGAAGGGATCAAGCTTCTGTGCAGCTGAGGACCCCTGGTGGCCACATTCTAAACTACACCATCCTCCAGATTTTCCCTTTCACCTACGAAAGTAAACGAATGGGAATTATTGTTCGGGTAAGATGGAGAAGCACGTGGGGGAAAACGTTCTCTGTAAATTGGGGTGAGATCTCAGGGTTTTAGGAACCAATTTGTTGTTATTATTTCTTTTTTTATTTATTATTGAGAAGAAAGAAAAGAACACTTAGAAGGTACTTTAACAAAAAAGGGAAGGAAATACAACAAAGAAAAAATACATGTTAATATGTCATTATAAGAGTAAACAATTATGTTTTATTGTGAACTGTCCAGAGTCACTCCTTCGTGAGATGGGCTGTGTATAAATCCAATATATAAATAAATAAATAAAAGTACAATTCTATATATACTTACCTAATGCAGATATTATTTGCATTAGGTAAGTGTGTGTGTGTGTGTATACATATATATATACATACACACACACACACACACACACATATGAAATAAATGTAAACGTATATATAAATATAAATGTATTAGAAATAAATAGGTACCTGAATAATATTATCATTATTTCTTTATTAGGACATTTTATAAAGCAGAGCCTGATGCAAAACAAGTAATTATCTGTAAATAATTCTCATCTCTTCTTTTGCTATTTCCCTTTTCTTCTTGTCTCCAAGAATAGTTGTATATAAAATACTTCATTCAGCTCTATTCCATGCATACATTGAAGCAGAATATATTGCATAAAAGGCTATGCAATAAGAAATGTGTTAGTCTGTAAGGTGCCGAAATTCTCTTCATTGTTTTTGTTGCGAGATATTAAGTGCCTTTCCTCACTCATTTTTTACACTATCATTGGAACAGTCTGGAAGCCCATTTTGCCTTCTGTCCCCGTAGTATTGCATACATATTGTCCCTAGGTCATGAATCATGGAGAATTATCCCACAGTTTTCTTGTAATGGACAGTAAGAGTGACCTTCAGAAACAGGAGGAACAGCCACAACAGTCAGACAGAAGTGGGTTACTTGACCACTCGTTCAGTAACCGTTCAGTTACGATGAACCAGTGGGACTTATGACCAGTCCTCAAAGTTCTGGCCATCACAGTGTCCCTGCAGTCATGTGATTGGGATCTGGGCACTCGGGTGCCCAGCTCACGATTATGACATTACAGTAAGCCGTGATCACATGATCATGATTTCAAATGTTCCCTGCTGACTTTCCACAAGCAAAGTCAATGGGGAAGCTGGCAGGAAGTCAGAGATCACTCCCATTCCCACCGCCTTTTCGCCCATCCAAACTGTGTAGTGCCCACAACACCCCCTGTGGCATCCGCACACCCACCCATGTATAGAGCCTACCTGCAGCACTCCCCACACCCGCATGGCACCTGTGCACCCGCTGGCATGTAGCACCTACCCGTAGCACCCCCCATGGAAGCCACACACCCACTGGGAGTGTGTAGCACCTGCCCGCAGCACCTGGACACTCAACTACCAGCCTGCTTGCCTGGGACTATCTTCTCTTCCTGCTTAATGACCCACAGTTCCGGGGTTACAATGGCAACTAGGACTGCCAGGATTGCTGTTGCTAAGTGATGCAGTCATGTGACATCACACTTTACAACCAGTTCGCTTAGCAACAGCAGTTCTGGTCCCAATTGCCATTGTAACCCAAGACTACCTGTATTACCTTAACAAGGAATGATTATGAAGATTCTTAGCACAGTGGTTCCTAACCTTTGATCTGGGGACCACTGGTGGTCCACAAGGGTCCTGCATGCGGCAGGCACACATTACCCCTCTGGAGGAGGGATTATGATGGTGGTGGTGGTGGTGGTGAAAACATGCAAAATGTTGGCATTCTTGTGAGATTTGGTGAGCTCATGATATTTTAGTGATTTTTATTGTTTTAAACTTAGAGTTAATGTATGTGCATGTTTGTTACATGTGCCCTGATACCTAGAGACATCCCATTGCTAATGCCTGACTTATATGGTGCTCTTCAAAAACTGTTGATGGAATTGTGGTCTGCATAAAGGGAATGGCTGGGAATGATTGCTATAACATTCCTCTGGAATCTTAATATTAAAATGTTTTGGGCAGAATGGAGCTTATAGTCATTCCATACCCCCCCCCCCAAATACCTGTTTTTGCAAGCTGCTTTCATTTCCTCAGTTTAATACTGCTGTTCTTGTTAATCAATTAGAAATCATGAAGTTTCCTCCAAAGGTACTGCAAATTTTCTAAGAGATCTATTGGAAGAACCTGATCTACCTTCTAACGCCATCCTCTTGAATTTGATCAGAATTCTCTCCAAGTAAATCAGTTTCACTGGATCTTCCAGCAGTGGGGAAAATGTCCACTGAAATTTTCTCTGCCAAATTTTCTCTACCAGGCTTGTAGAAAAGGTTCAGAGAGGCTCATTTAGTTGGTGATGTTTCAGAATCTTCATGTTTCCTACACTTCTAATTCCTATTACCCAAGTCATGACTATAGCATAGTGATGCATACATTGGGACATTGTTTATCTTTCTTTAAGAGGATGAAAATACAGAAAGATGGAATTTTGATGTGTACAACATGGAGAAATAGGAAGAGAAAGGATGTGCAAGACTCACATCCAAAATCACTGTTAATAGCAAGATGTTTGATCATGTTTGTTTGGCTTGTAAACTTTGTGGCCGGGTTAAAAAAGGCTAAATACCTTTATAGATTCTCTAGCTGCCTTTGTAGATTTGCTTGCAGTCTCCATATCACTGAGTTTTGTAGTGTCTGCTTTTTAAGAGGTGAATGTTAAAGATTTGTTGCTTTCATAGTATCTGGTCCCAGGGATCCTGCTATAGCCAACAAACCAGACAAATAAGGTGGTTGGTGTCTCTTATTGGTAGGGAGGCAGCTGTTTGTTCAACCACAAAACTTTCCAGTCTCTCTTCTTCTGAGCAGTTGGAATGGAGAATGGGTTTTTTTTGCAACCCAGAAACTGCTATTGTCATGTGTCAAGTGGGAGTTGGGGGAGGAGGGAAAGGCCTTTGAACCTTGGCCCAAAATCAGACTATGGTGGAAAAAGATGTGGTTGAGAAACAATACAACTGGCAAATCTTTCTGCAGATTTATACTTGTAATCGTGCCATATCATGGGAATGTGCTAACCTCCTACTGAACTTGGTGAGAGGAAATGACTAATGCAAGGAGATAGTTGATATGATATTTATATTGGACGAAAGATCTAAACTCTCTTAAAACTAGTTCTGCACTGCAGGAAGTGGACTCTCTTGTTAGTTTCCTACCAAAAAGTTATTAAAACATATCTTAACAGTTTAAAACACGTAATGCACAAACATTGATCTTAATTTATGTTGGAGATATTTTATTTTAAGGAGTTTTTTTTCCTGGCATCCTTGGGTTTGAAATTGGAAGTTTGCATTGACACATGACTCCTTTGTCATACATCCTGTTGTCAAAGATGACAATAATGTGCCACATGTAAAAGCCATTGGTATAAATAAGGCTGCTGTGTTCCATCTTTGTGTTGGTTTGCAGCCTCAAGATATTACAGTGCTAAAGAAGCTTGTTGATCAAGTTCAGACTGCATATGAACATTAAAAAAAAATGTCCAGAGTTGGGGAAATGAAATTCATGAAATTCAAAAAACCTTAGTAGATTGATTTGTGAGTAAAAATGCATCAACTTGGCTTCTTTCCTGTTTGCCCCAGATTTTGAGTAAAAACACTGTCAAGGCTTGGCTTTGTGTTGAATACTGGGAAACTAAAATATAATCTTACGTAGAGTTGCCTAAACAGTATAATGTAGGCTGTAGAATACTGTACAGTTAAATAGTATCAGGGAGAAGGAAGCCTAGGGAGAAGGTGACAGATCACATGGAGAGAACTTGCAGGACTTATCCAGCCCATGGTCTTTGATCCATAATCTGGTACAGGTAGTCCTCATTTAATGACCACAATAGGGACTGGAAAATTGGTCATTAAGCAGGGCAGTTGTTAAGTGAGTCACCATGTGACTGGAGCCGATTTTACAACCATTTTTATGATGGTCATTAAGCAAATCACCATGGTCATTAAGCAAATCATGTCATGTTTAGCTGGAATTTGCTTAACGACCACATGATTCACTTAATGACTGCGGTGATTCATTTAACAACCATTGTAAAAAGTTTGCAAATAGTGGTCATGTGACTGTGGGAGTTGGGGCGACAGTTTGCAATGGTCATAAGTGCAAGTACAGGTTGTAAAGCACTTTTCCAAGTCTGTCGTAACTTCAAACTGTCATTAAATGAACAGTCGTGAAGCGACTACCTGTACAGAGTATCAGATCAACTGGCCTACCAAAATGAAGCTCTCAACAGCTGTCATAATTGTAATCCTGCTTATCATAGAAAAGTCAGTGTCAAGCAGGAAGAGGGAGGGAAGTCTCTTTACCCTTTCTTCATCTGAGGAAGGAAATCATTCTAGTTCCTTAATGAACCTACTCTACAATGCCTATTGAGGGGAAAAGTCTTGTATTTGCTCTCACTGTTAAACACATGATGTTGAGAGGTCAGCCATTCCCATCTGTATAGAAGGCATTTCTGCAAGCCCAAGTCTCAATGCCAGATGTAATTTCCCTTCTGTTACTTTCCAACAGAGAAAGGGAACCTGGGGTCTGCATCTACCACTTGGGGGGAATAAGAGGGCTCCAGTGGGCAGGGCAATAATACAAAGTAGATGGGGTCCTATCACACATTTGGGCATGACCAGGATTTTCTCTCCCCCACCCCCTTGGTTTTGGCAGGAGGAGATTTTCTTGGCTTTTGATTAAGCTAAAAACTTACGCTAAAACTTCTGTGTTTTCTACCTCAAAATCATGAGAAACTGTGATTGCACTATTCAGTAATTGTGAGCAAAAGTTCTTGGGGTTGCAAAAATGAGATTTGTGGGACTTTGACCCATTCTAGCTTCTACAGCCTTTTAAGGGTTTCCTGAGCTTTTTTGGCCAGTTATCCTCTTTTCACTCTGTTTATATTGTTGAGATGAAGTCCTTGATGGTAGAATCTTTATGGATTTGCAACAAGCCTGTTCCATTAATTTCATTGGGTTTGTTTTTTCATCCGGTTGACTGATGACCCCTGCCACAGATCTCTCGTCTAGGGCAGTAATTTCCATTCTTTTCCCTTGTGTTACATATGCATTGAAAGATTTTGAAATCTAGTTCATAAGTTTGGGGTCAGCTATGTGGCAACTGCAAGCACCTTCAATGTATAGAGTTTGTATGATCCCAGAATTAAATAAGTAAAAGACAAAAAAGACAAAATGCAGAAATTGTTCAAGATTGTCAAGCCTCGTGAGATGTTGAGGTTTTTTATCTGAAATCTTACAAGATGTCAGATTAATTGAAAAAAGCCAAAGTCTTGTGACATTTTCATGATATTCCAAGATTTGGGCCATTAACATTTTGGTACCAGCATTGAACTTTGGTGTCTTAGCAATATTGGAATACTTGGTGCTGGTTTTTACACTGCATGAGTGATAAGCTAATTTTCACTCAATGTGTCTCCAGTTGTGTAAACCTTATTTAAAGGATTTCAAAGTAAGACTTTCCAAACTGGAGTTTTTGTTTTTTAATATGCTTTGAATCTTATTTTGGGTTGAGTTTTGTTCTGAAGAAATACAAATTTGGGAGATAAAATTAGAGGTACAGACTTTCAGTAAAATTACTTTAAGAAAAATGAATACCAAACTCATGTTAAAGTGAGGGTGGGGGGCATTGAGATAGTATGACTGGGTGAAGGTCACCCAGTCAGCTTCCATGGATGAGGGTGGATTTGAACTGGGTCTTCAGTTCTTATCTAACATCTTAATCACTACTCCACAATGGCTTTTGGGGAATCCCAAAGATTTTAGGAGAAAAATGTGCTGTCGGAGAAAATCATTTGGTGGGGAGAAAAAAAACATGATTTCAGTTATGGAACTTGTGCTCAAGATTTGAGTCTACAGATTTGAACTGCATACAAGTACATATTTCTTATTTATAGACCAACTAATAATTATCTCTCAGTATTCTCTATGGACTCGGTATTAATCCCAGGTAGGTAAGTATAGGACTTCAGTCTTAATCCTGTGATTTAATACTCAGTTTCAAATGGATTAAAAAAAAAAAAGATAAAGAGAATGTACATGCATGTATTTTAAAGCTAAATGTGAACTAGTGTAATGTTTTATCCTAACCAAAAGAATGGTTGGAATGAGGAAAAAGTGGTGACCTTTTTCCATGCAGAACAGTGGGAACTTAACATCAGCCTGGGACGTCAGCCAGTAACACCTGTTGTTAAATAGAACAGAAACAGAAGATGAGAAAATCAACCCATTCTCTTTTCTTGATGGAGCCTACATCATCAAATGCTGTTTCAGACAAAATAAAGTGCTGGCACATAGAAAATTAACAGGTCAGGGAAAAGGCTAGGCTAGAATTGATTTCCTTGATATGCTAGTTTTATATGTGGGGAGTTTTGAGTTTGTTTTATGGTGGAAAATTCAGTCATTGGAGCACTTCCTTCAAGTATAAATTATTACTGAACAAGCACAGATTTATTACTTCATTTGATTGTTAGTGTTAGCTCTTAGAAGCACTGAATTGGAAAGGAGCTCAAACGCTATCTGGTCCACCCCCCTGCTGATATGAGAAGTTCATAAGTGGCCACCCATCACTTCTTCTTAAGTGGCCACCCAGCTGGTGCAGAAAATCTTCAATAAAGACTTTTCTACTTCCAAAGCTATCTGTTCTACTGCCAAACACCTTATACTAATAGAAAATTCCAGCATTTAGACAAAATCCTATGTCATGTAATCTTAACCTGTTACTATGGGACATACCCTTTGGAGCAACAGAAAAGAAATTTATTTCACCCTCTATATGTCAGCTCTGCAAATATTTGAAGAAAGCTGTCCTGCTGTGAATTTAATTAACTGTTTTTCAGGCTAAATGTACCTTAGAAGCTGATAATACTTAGATCAAATTGATGCAGATAATAAGGAGCAAACAAGGTAGTACATAAATGACATATGTCCCACCTCACTTTTTAAAAAATTAGTTGCATGAGAATGATTATCTGATTAAAAGAGAGACCATTATATACTTCGGGGGCAGGGAAGTATAAAATCCTTTCCCCAATGTCCCCTCTTTTTAAAAAGAAAATGGGCATGCAGTGGTCTTTTTATAAAAGAGACTCCCTCAGCACCAAATTGAGTCTTACACACTGTGCCATTTGGGGAGGGTGGAAGGCAGCAATTCATAGCAGAAAATGGTTGTACACTCTTCTAACTTTGGTCTGCCGGGGATCCATGTTGTTGTTTTTGCAATGCCAACAGAACTTTTCTTTGGTGCTCTAACCCCTTTAAAGCTGTGTTTTGAATGTTACTATTCTTTCTTCTGAATTGTACTACTTTATATTCTTTGCAGACAGCAGGTTTTCCCTTTGTTGATTTAGGGTTCTTCAAGTTAGGCATTCTTAGGATGGCATACAGTGTGGTATTAAATTGATGCATTAAGTATTTTATGAAGAGTTATTAAGTATCTGTACTAAAACAGGAAGCCTGGGATCCCCCCCCCCCCACCCTTTGTCATCTCATTTCTTTCCTCTTCCCTGCTTTCTGTCTCTTTCAGGATGAATCTACAGGAGAAATAACATTCTACATGAAAGGGGCGGATGTGGTTATGGCAGGCATTGTTCAGTACAATGACTGGCTAGAGGAAGAGGTACAGAACAGCATTCTCAATGTTGTGACTTGTTTTACATTTGCAAGTATGAAATCCTCATTAGGGCAAGAAGCCTTGACTGAGTCTAGAGAATGCTTTGAATGCCCCTGATGATAGAACTCAGCCTTCCTCACCCGGCAACTTCCCTATCTGTTGCACTACCACTTCTATCATTAGCAAGGGGTGGTGGGGAGTGTGCTATGCTTATAGTTATAAGAAAGGATAAGAGTAGAGCACTGTGTGTGCATAATGGTAACATCCATACACAAATGTTGCATCTGCAGATATACTGCATGCAACTTGCTTATATAGAAAGTCCTCATTAGAATGGTCTTTGGCAACTTACCTGCACATTAGTAACTCTATGCAGAGTCTGAAACACTTAGAAGTCCCCATCATTTAGAATGACTCAGCAACATAATATTTGCATGGCCTTGCATGGGAGAAACATAAGACTGAAACATCATGTAAAACATGTAGGCAACATGGCATCCACAGGCACCAATGCAACTGGTAATTGTGTTAATGCTCCAAAATTAAGCTGAAATTTATTTATTTATTTTTTGCTGAAATTTTAGGAGGTTGCTAGATCACATGAGATTCTAGTGAACTCAACCAGGTTTTCACATTTAAAAAAATCCAGATCTCATGTGAGATTTCACCTTAGTTCAACATTCTCACCAAAGATCTAATAACATGTTAGGGTGAAACTGCCAAAGTCTTGCAAGATTTGGGGGTTGAAAAGATTGCCAGACCTTGATATAAAACTGTAACCATTACTTTGGAGGTGATTTTTAAAACTACAGTTACAATTTCATGACTTGGTCAATAAAATTATAGTATTAATGTTATGGTACAATTCCATAAAAAAGTGAAATTTTGAAATTCTGCTCTTTGATAGAAAAGAACAGGGACAATTGTTAAGCTAATATTTATTTCCAGTTGCAGATTAGCTTATTAGAATGTGTATAGTAGTAGTAGTAGTGGTAATAATAATAATAATAATAATAATAATAATAATAATAATAATAATAATAATTCCTTTACAGTGTGGTAACATGGCGAGAGAAGGACTAAGGGTCCTTGTAGTAGCAAAGAAATCCCTGTCTGAGGAGCAATATCAAGATTTTGAGGTAAGCAAATTAAATATGAAATAAAATGAATGTCTGATTTACCTCTGGAATGAATGGGAAAAAATGTTTTTTCTAAACAGGTTAACCCTAAACTACTGTGCTTGCTGTTCCCTTTCTTGGCAAAGATGTAATTGGCCATGGTCCATCATGCATTAGACCATCATGCATGATCAGACTGGAAGGGCTACCTTTGAAAATTTTGGAAAATGGATGAGCGAGTTGGCTGGATAGAATATATGCCACTTGTACAGTATTTTATCATTTTTACTGGATGTAGCTTTTTTATGATTGCAACCCTATGGGCTGTTTTTTACCTTTGAAAAATGTAAGTAGCCCTTTCTACATTTGATGCCCTCCAGAACTGGGACTATCTCCCATAATTCCCCTACCAGCAATTCCATTGCTAAGAATTCTGGCAGTTGAGGTTCATGCATTTGGAGGGCATCAAGAGCGGAAGAGCTAAGGTGGCCATATTGACACAATATGCTAAACTTGGTTACTAAGTTAACCTATATTCTATGTTCACATGGTATGTATAAACTAATCCAATGGGCTGGATTTTCACCACACACTAAACCACCAAAATCCTAACCAGAGTTAATAGCCAATCTAGTCGTGCTGGGCAAATGCAGCCGCTAGATCTTTAACTGGCCTGATTAAGTGAGCTGTGCAAAGCACTTTATAACACATATACCAAGAAAGAGTCTAGGCCAAACAGGAGGCATGAATATTTCATAAGAAGATTATCAACCCAAGCTTGCATGAGAAGGAGAAACGAGTCCATACAATTCTGATCAGCTCCAGCTAGCACAGCCAGAGAACATGTTGTGGCTCAACATGGCTGGAGGACACCTGGTTGAAGAAGGCCGTCTTGCATTGTCTTCTGCTCCACCACCCTTTATGATTATTCCAGGATGCAGAAGGACAAAGGCTAACATAAAAATGACTTATGACATGAGTGCTGGTCTGGATGTGCTCCTAGTGTATCAGTGGCAGCCAGCTGGCAGCTCAGGGGCCACATCAAACTTGTGGATGGCAGCCAGTTGACTCACCATTCCCCCATGTTCTTCTAGCAGATAAAGATTCTTGTAATGTGGGCCAGTCTCTTCCCATCTGGCTTTAGGAGGGAGGGGAAATCTCTCTCTCTCTCTCTCTCTCTCTCTATATATATATATATATATAGAGAGAGAGAGAGA